GAGAACAAATTCTGCTGTCATCGCCACACTGCAACGAAGTCATGAAAGTTTTCCAAAATCGATTTTCCAGTCACATTCATCAGTGGAATGTCGTGACTGAAGAGATCCGTGCCGAACAGTGACTAGATAATAATGTACTACGAGAACAAAATAAAGTGCTAAAATAGAATGAAGAAAGGTGAGACAATAGAAGTGAAGTGGGAACTGAGTGCAAAGTGCGGCGAGACGCTAATTATAACGCTGGATCTTCGTAAGCAGAAGAAACATGTACCGTATTTCCTCGATTAATGGACCATGCTCGAATAATAGACCATGCTGAAATAGAAGACCCTCCTAGAGGCCTCACGGAAAAGTAGTAGATCATGCCCGAATAAGAGACCCGGTCTCTTGTTTGAGTTCATCGCTTTGCGCATGCGCACTAAGAAAGCACGTGGTGGATCAAAAAAGGACGCGATTTTAGGTTGCGCAACTACAATTTTTGTAGTGGCTCGTGCTTTCTTTCATGATTTGAGCACGGTCCACTATAATTTTCATCGGCACATCGCTGGAAATGGTGGATTTTTAACACGTCATAATATATTCAGTTGGTAACCCCAGGGAGATATCGGCAGGGGGACGTGGTAGAAGAAGAGGCCGGACATCACGCAGCGCACCCTCAAGGTACACAATGAAAAGAACAGGAGACAACGAGTCACCTTGGGGTGTGCCGCGGAGAGTGGGGAATGACGGGCCCTTAGCGGATGGGAGTACAACCCGCAGTACGGTGTCCTGGAGGAGGTAACTGATCATTCGGATTTCATCCGGCTGCAAGAACGATCCCAGCACCGAGATGAGCCGTGGCCTGCTTATACAGTCAAACGCTTTTGACATATCAATGCCTAGGATATCCAGCGCACAACGATAACGTTGGCATCGAGCCGCCAACCATCGGTATGACCACACAACATCTGTGGTGCTTCTGCTGGGGCGGAAACCACTCTGTGTGTGTGCAACGAAGTTGTTGACGTCCTTGTTGATCCTCCGCAGCACAATCAATGATAGAATCTTCCTGAGCGCTGTGAGTAAAACCACGGGCCGTAGGTGAGCGACTGGTCCCCTTGATTTGCCAGGCTTTTGTAACGGAATAAGCGACCCACTACCGATGCTGTTCAGGGGCAGGCCTGTCTCGATGGCAGAGTTGAGGACCTGGGCGATATTGGAGTAGACGAGGGTAGGTGAGTACTTTAGCAGCTCCCCTGGCATGTTATCTGGGCCACTTGACCTGCCATTGTTCAACTTTCCAGCTGCCTGTGTCACCTCTGCCTCAGAAATGGGCCGCTCAAGCCGGCGGTACTGAATAGCGCAATCCTGGTCGGCAAGGCCCGGTCGCCGCAGCAACAGTGCACCAGGCTCCGGTGTGTACAGCTTAGAAAAGTGGTCGGTGATTTGGATGGCTACTGAGACTGGCTGTATTACTTGTCTACCCGCTTCATCATGCACAGTGATAGGCTGTTGTTTTTGTCGCTGGAGTAGATGGACTGCATGAAACATCTGTGCTGTATCCTTCTTTGCTTCTACTTCCCTCGCCCGAGCGTCCAGCTCATTCGATGCTAGTTCCTTTGCTCGCAGCCGGATTCGGTGTGAGAGGGTGTTCCGCCGATGCTTCAGATCAGCCACTTGCTGTGGATCCCTACTTGTAGTTATCAGCAGTCGTAACCGTTTTTTCTCTTCCGACCAGGAATGTAGCTGATCATCCATGAAACGCTGTTGCTTCTTTGGGGGCTGTGCCAGTCCAATGGTATTCTTTGCCGTTTGCTGGATGAAAGACGAGATCGATGTCCAGTGTGCTTCCGGTGTGGATGTGTCTACTGCGCCGTTGGCGATCCGATGGGTGAGTTGGGACTGGAAGTTTTGCCGGCAGGTGTGCTCGCTCAATCTATGAACCTGAAACTTCTGAGCTTTCGCGGTTCTTTTTTTGTTGTTGTTATGTGCCCACAGCCCATAGATCCTGCTCAGACGGGCGCGTGCGACAACGAGCCGATGGTCTGATTTCACCAGTGTCCCAGCATAGGATCGGGCATCTGTGAAAATCTGCTTCTGGTTGCTGCTACTCAAAATGAAATCTATTTGATTGTATATAGGGATAGAGCAACCGCCGTTTGGGTTGTGCCTCCAACCTGTCCAGGTTGTCAGATGCCTAGCTGGATGTTGAAAGGCAGTGTTACATGCAAAGAGACCAAACGACTCGCAGAAATCCGCTAGCATAGCTCCGCTGTAGTTACGACGTCCACGACCATATCGTCCGGTGCACGAGCCGCCTGAGTCATCCCTCTGGCCGAGTTTGGCATTGAAGTCGCCAGCGACGAGAACGAGCGAACTGGACCTTACTGAACCCAGGCAATCTCCGAGCGCTGAGTAGAACTCGTCGAGATGGACATCATCTGCCGCTACGCGGGTTGCCGTTGGCGCATACACATTGACGAGAGATAAAGTACTTCTCTTGGACAAATTGATTTGTATCGCAGCTACTCGGTCTGATACTGACCATATCCGATGAATACGTTCAAACAGGCTGTTGTGAATAGCGAACCCAAGCCCATAATGCCTGTTCGCCGTTGGTAAGCAGAATATCCTGTAGTCACCAGCTAGTTCGTCGCAGCCGTCCTTTATTTTAGTCTCTTGCAAACTGCAAATTTTAATTTTGTATTTCCGAAGGTCATCAGCAAGCTGCTGTTTCTTTAGGCTTGACGACAAGCCGCGGACATTGAATGAACCCACACCAAAGTCCTGTTCTGTACTACTGTCATTACGTTGAGACGCAAGCGTTCGAAGTGAAGAAGACATTGAGCTCCAAGAGGAGCCTGAGGAACGTCACCTCCTCATCCAAAACTTAGTACCGGACAAATACGCCGACGATGTGGATTTCGTGACTACTGATGGTGAGAGGCTGAGGACCCTCCTTCCAACCATATCCAACAAGCTCCTCGAATGGGATTTGAAAGTGAATGAGACCAAAACAGAGCACACGCACATCGAACGGCACACTGATCGCATCGAGGAGGAGTGGCGAACCACCAAGAAACTCGGGTCCCTATTAGGTGATGCCGAGGATATGCTACGGCGACAGCAACTGGCAACTGTTGCCTTTGGTAAACTCTGGACGCTGTGGATCCGTAGGTCGCTAGTTTCGGAGGATCTCCGCATCCGGCTCTATAATGCCTTTGTACTCCCTGTACTCTGCTATAATTGTGCAACATGGGCACCAACGAAACAGCAGCTGAGCCGTATTGAGGCCTTCCACCGAAAACAGCTGCGGGCGCTAATCGGCATTGTGTTCCCGAATCGGATTAGGAACGAGAGGCTCTATGAGCGTACCGGCGCGGTTCCTCTCGGCATTATCATCTTGAGAGCTAGGTGGAGGCTCTTTGGGCACGTCCTCCGGCTCCCGGCTGACTCCCCACCATCACTGGCCATGGGAGCGTACTTCGCAGAGCCTCGCCCAGCGGGCTGGAGGGGAAGACCAAGACACACACTACCAACGCTACTACAAGATGATGCCAAGCGGATTGGACTTTCCTTGTCAAGCAAAGTCGATCTGGAGGCGTTCCGTGCCCTTGCTGCTGACCGAAGCGGTTGGGTGGGCATCTGTGCCCGAGTGGTGTCGGCACCCTAGTTTTTTGTCTTCTTTTCGCATATTTCTTCTTTTTCTGAAACTGTTATGGTCTTTTGTATCTATTCGAAGTGGCTTATGCGAACATTTTTGGCTGGTTTGCATGATTTGCATGCCCATTAATGCAGCTGCAGGCCATGCTGATGTCTACGCGAACAAGCACATAATAATAAATAATAATAAATAATAAAAATAATATAGAAGTTCTATATTATGACGTGTTAAAAATCCACCATTTCCAGCGATGTGCCGATGAAAATATAGTGGACCATGCTCAAATAATAGACCATGCCCAAATAAGAGACCAGGGGTCCAACCCTCTTCAAAAAACAAAAGACCGGGTTTATTAATCGAGGAAATACGGCAGTTGTGTTAAGATTGTTTTCGTAGGTGAACAGCATGATTGTTCGTCTCACTACACAATTCTAGCGTTATAATTAGCGTCTCGCCGCACTTTGCACTCAGTTCTCACTTCACTTCTATTGTCTAACCTTTCTTCATTCTATTTTAGCACTTTATTTTGTTCTCGTAGCACATTATTGAATGTATATCTAGTCATTGATCAGCACGGATCTCTTCAGTCACGGCATTCCTCTGATGAATGTGACAGGAAAATCGATTATGGAAAACTTTCATGACTTTGTTGTAGTGTAGCGATGACAGCAAAATTTGGTCTCATTTTCTCTGTGCTGCGTTGATGAGTCCACAAAGGACGAAACAGCTCTGTCTGCAGATTGAGTAGTTATTCTAATCTCTATATCTTATAACCGAGAGGTGCTCTATATCAATTGTATGTATGTATGGATGGACGAACCCAATCCCAAGCCGTACCGCAATTCCGCTGACACAGCTCTGAATTGCAGTACGACTTGATACGGGGTTAGTCCATCCAGAGCCGCGATGAAACTGCAGGAAGGGTCCAACCAGATTCTCGACTCTTTCTCGCCCTCTTGGAATGGGTGGCCATGGGAGAAAGGTTGAGTCAGTGCAGCGTGAGTAACAGGGTTAATGAGATTGGGTTTGTCCACGCATCCACACCGTTGAACATGAACTGCAGGAAATATCCAACCAAATTCTTGATCCCTCTATATCCGAAGTCAAAGGACGGACAACATGTATACAGTGTATTGAAAAGTACATGTATGCCACCAAGGATACTGAAATTTCCGCAGCGGTGTCCAACGAAGTGAATCGGCACTCCACTTTGGAACCTGTTTACATGTGCATGTGCATGCAAGTCCTACTAGACCCAGGCGGGTAAACTAAGTGCTACGCACACACTGGACATGTGAGTTGTCAGCCAGTATGCAATCGTGATCTCTTTCTTGTCGTGATCTTCTATCCTGTGCAGGCGAGCGTCCCTACCACTGCACGTTTGAAGGCTGCGATCGCTCGTTTGCACGCTCGGATGAGCTGAAGCGTCACGTGTGTGGGCACACGGGCGAGAAGCCGTACTGCTGTCCAGTGTGCGAGCAGCGATTTGTTCGCAGCGACCACTTGGCCAAACACATACGCCGGCATATGGAGGCACCCAAGGTCCCCGCCTGGAAGCGAGAGATTCAGAAGCTGTACTCGGTGATGAACGGAGCAGCGTCTTCGCCGGCAGGGGGCTCTGCGGCAGCCAGTCCGGTTCCGTTGACCTCTTCTGGCTTCCAAACTGTGGGCGTCAGTCCGGTTCCGTTGACCTCTTCTGGCTTCCAAGTTGCGGGCGTCAGTCCGGTTCCATTGACCTCTTCTGGCTTCCAAACTGCGGGCGTCAGTCCGGTTCCGTTGACCGCTTCTGGCTTCCAAACTGCGGGCGTCAGCAGCACTATTCATGGAGCTGTAGCAGTAGCTTCAACCTCTCAGCTTGGCGGATCAGTGCAACACCATACAGTTCCAACCACCAGTGACAGCAGTAGAGACAGCATTCCAAGGACATTTCACTTTCCGCCAGTATGAGGTACGGACCAAGCTGCGTCTATTAACAATCCTATCACGGATTCTGTAGGCCATCAACCAATTTTCTGTGTCGATGCTGGTTGCGTTCGGCACCAGCTTCAAGACACATGCATGTTAGGGCTGTTGTTTGAAAGTATGCATTGCTCGACAATCCATGCCCATAGGCTGCATCTTGTTAGGAGCTGGCAACGATAACAACTCTAGTGTAGAATGTCCCGCGGTCTCAGGACATTAAAATCAAGCAGGAAAGCCTTTCCAGACTAGATCCCGGTCAGCTGAATAGTAACTTGTAAATAAAGCCCGTCGTTATTCCAGTGTCATTGCCAAGTAGCTGCTTTACTCATCAGACTCGGCCTTTCCACCATTCACTCAGGATCCTAAATTATTCATATCACTGCAAGCTCCACACGCTGGTTGGTCACCCGGAGCTCCATCAACGCAGGCATGGAGCTGATGCGAGCGTGTGGCCAAAGTTGCGCTGACTAAATAGCGGCGGCTAGCCGAGCTCCATGACGTGTGCGGCCTCATTAATGGAACTGCAACCCCAACACTGGCAACGCCACGGCTGCAGAATGTTGGAGTCTGCCTTGTTCGTTCTGCCAATGTGTCATGCAAGTAATGTCTTTTCCTGAACGTTCGAACCTTTTTGCAATTTGTCTTTACATGTGAAAAAATTCCCGCTGTTAGTAGCAAGTAGTCTCGTCAAGTTAGCAGTTAGTACTTAGTTTCAGGAGTGTCCTATTAGGTAGGTTACAGGTTACAGAACTCCCTCTGTCATTCGCTGGCGTTACTTGTACATGTGGTTTTGATAACGCTTCGCTCTTCATTGAGATATCTACCATTCTCTCTCTCTTCTTTCTCATTATGTTCTCCCAACCCTCCTTCGCTGTAACACAATAACATATTCGCTGCCTTGTCATTGAGGATTTGTGCTCGTTTATAAAGCACACAAACAAACAAACAAAATGGTTTACCCATGTTGTGTAGCTTTCGACTACGTGCTTCCTGTCCTGGCTGTAGTTCATGTGTAGATTTGTACTGTCAGGTGTACTCGTGTTATGTCGCTTTGCTCCCAGGCTCTGTGCCGTCAGCTGTTATGATTGATGCATTCATCCGTTGTAGTTGCGGTAAGATTGTTTTCGTAGGTTCACAGCATTATTGTTTGTCCCGCTACACAGTTCCAGCGTTACTGTTAGTGTCTCACCCCCCCCCCCCCCCCCCCAGTTGCACTCAGTTCTCACTTCACTATGGAAAAATCTATGGGAGTCAATACTAAGGGAGTGATAATGCTACACTGTCCCTGCGGGAATTTGCGGAAAAAATCCTCGAAAACTTGCGCAAGAAATTGTGGCAGAAAACAACAAAAAATGCGGTGAAAAGTGCGGAACTTGCCAGGGACTCGCGGAATTATTGACAGAAAATTGCGGATTTGGGCCAAATGACGAAATTTGTTGTATCCTTAGAATCGCTATTTGCGTACTGTGGAAATAACCTACGAGCAGGATCATGGAAAGCACTGTATACCAGGTATACTGCGTGAAAAGTGCAGAAAAATGTCAAAAGAAATGCAGAAAACAACATAAAACTCGGGAAATCGCGGATTTTTCAGAAAATCGCGAAATTTGTTGCGTCCGTGGAATCGCGATTTCCTGGAGGGACAGGCTACATAATAATTATACAACGGGCGCTTTCGATTACACGTTAACACAATTCTGGAACTGGTTTTTTTAATTCTGGAATGACCAGAATGAGCGGATTCCGGCCTTGTAAACAAACAACTGGAATTCACAACGCATTTTATTCATGTCATGTCACAAACTTGATGAATCGTAAAAAGAGATCACGTACACCCTCGCGCGCACGTGGACCCAGCATTGTGCACACGCCGGCCAGGGAGGCTCTTCGCGCGCTTGAGTCATGACCAGACCGGTAACACACCGACTGTGCAATTCTGGCGCCAGAATTAGAGAAATTCCGCCCTCTCTTCAGAATTGACGGATTCGACGGAATTGGATAAATCAATTCTAACGACGGAATTTGTCACTTTTTGTGTAATCGAACTGTGCATCAACAATAACTAATTCTAGAATTGACCGAAATGCGTGTCATCGATAGGCACCGGCGGATTATGCCGGCATAATTATTGGCATAATTTGGTGATTGAAAATTTGGAGCATAATTTGGCATCCTCTCGGAGGTAGGAGCATAACTACACGATTATACCACAGTTGTAGTATGTAAGCTATACAATTGTGGACAATGCACCTGATCAGCGCTGGTGGTCTGCATGGTAATGGGTTCGGAGGTCATGCAGACAGTGTTTTCAATGAAAAGCAGGGTAGAAATCATGGCAATACAGTCATGGTATTGTATGCTCGAACTCGTCTTCTTCAAAGTTCTTTCTCACACTGACACAGTACATGTAGCAGAAGATGCGAGTGAATCAGCCTTCATCAGGTATCCCATAGCGGACGAGATAGTGGCGGGTAGTCCGCAAAACTCCGTGTACATGTACATTGCATTTGTACATTATGCATGTTACGGAGTCATGACCTCTGGTAGTCTGGATTTTAGCAGCCATGATATGACTGCAGGGTATGGATATTGCTCGAAATTGATGTACATGTATAGTTGATGTTCGGTCATGATGGAAGGAGAAGTGGAGCTACGGGAGAGATGAGCTGATTATTCGCAGGGTGAGGCCGGTGACATCGGTTGGACGAGTCACATGATGATGATTATGAAGACCGTGAGTTGAACATGATAATCTTCAAAGGTAACTCAAACTAATTTGGCAATGAAATAATATTTTTACTGAAGTACAAAGAAATCAAGTAATGCAAGTGATGAATAGAAGAAGTAATGTTTTCTCTTTTCCATGTTGATCTCTAACATGCATGGACACCTTGCAGCTTGGTATGGGGATGCTCATGTATTTTGTTGTACTTATGGCCACATGTACCTTGCAAGTACGAAAAAGGCACAATTTTCCGAACTTTGAGGCTCCATGAGTACAACAAAGAATATATATCCCCGGGTGCCAAAGCATAATATGAGGATTTTACGAGCATAATGCGAGAATCCATGAAAGCATAATTCCATGATTTCGCGAGCATAATCCGCCGGAGCCTAGTCATCGAAAGCGCCCAACGTACATTTATCTGACCACATTGCTACATAAAGACGTAACTCGTTATGATTGTAGCGATGTGGTCAGGTAAATGAATACATGTACAAGCCATGAATGTAGCATGCCCAGCCGAGAGTTACACAAATCCGGAGAAAGATTTATTTAGGTTTTTTTTACTTGAAGTAGAATAATGTAGAGGCATGGAGGAGACGTAAGCGAAGTGAATATCAAACAGACGAAGAGGAGTTTTCTGGTTGTGCCATAGGCTCTGGCGATAGCGTCTCTAGCGATACTAAAGTAGACACTGATGCATTGATAAAATTTAATTTGGACCAGGATGAAAGAGCGGCTGTAAACAGAAAGAGCTCGTTCCAAAAGAACTGCCTTTGCAGGGTACAGCTGAGAAGGCTCGAAAACTAGAATTTCTCATGGACTTAGTACTAAGTCGATTTGAGCGCTCCGCAGCGCATATCTTACTTTCCTGCATGGTGAAGCACGTACAGTTACTAGTTAGTTAGTGGTGGATGGTTGTAATGCCAGGCCTACAGTCAAATCATATCAGAAAAGAAAAGTTTCCACTCACAAAGCAACTGTTCAGTACATGGGGCAGTGGTCTACCGGAGCAGTCACACTCACCGACGTAGTGGTTTTCCAGAAATGAGTAGAAGCAAAAACCACACTCGCAGCCACATAGCCGAAAACATCCAAATCAGTCAAAGAACCGTCAGCAAGCGGGAGAAAAGGCCGCAAAATCAAGTGAAAACAGCATGGCCAGCGGTGACTGGGCAGCAGGGGATCGGGAGCGCCTGAAAACACTCCTAATCCTATGTCTATGATAACATAATTATATTCCTAGCCACGACCGCTCAACCGGGCTAGCTAGAGGAAAAACATGCCTTTCGGCCAAAAAGACCGTTTTCACACGAAAAAAAGAGAGAAAGAAGTCCAGTGCAGTTTGGATTTGTCGTGACTCAAAGTTTCATGCCACTGCAATCAATTTCGTGTAGATAGATACATGTAAGATAGATAGAAAAGCAGATGGCTGAGCTAGGTCTCTACACCTTGAGGGAAGTTGCCAGTAAGTTGGTTATGCTCTTAGTCTCTTGTAGTCTCTTGTTATTGGTATAATCGCTTTACACTGCCTACAAAACCAAGGCTATTTCTAAATTAACCAGTCACATCAAGTCAAAGAAGATTTATCATCAAACAGTAGGGGTAAAACAATTATACCGAGTACTCGAGTGCTCGCTCGGTTTTTATTTGAAAAATAATCGTATTCAGAATAAATCAGAATACTCCTTCATACATGGTGCATGCATTTACCACCGAAATCTGCAGTTTCAGAGTAGCGGGCAGTAGATATTGATCAGTGTGCAGACTGTGTGTTGAACATTTGTACATGATTAGAGAGTTCCCAAATGAGACCCACCAATCAGTTTACTCAAGAAAATGCACTGCCACTCAGTTTAATCAGGGCTGTATCATGTGAGTTTCAGACCCCTGATGTGCAATTTGATGAAGAATACTAGAATACTGGAATAGTCGATTGGAGAAAATTAGAGTATTCGAACTCGGGATCTCATTGCCTACCTTCACCCCTATCACTGAAAAGGAATGATTTCAATCTTCACGTACAAAAATAGCCGTATAGTTCTGAAGTATCCGGCTTATCAGACACAATTGTTTGTAGAAGCTGCTAACTATGTACTTCAAACTGCACGTGTCCAACACGGAATGACTCGATCTAGCATTGATCAACCATAGCAGTGCGCAATACGTGCTGTGTGAACTCAGTCCTGGTCATATTGGCACACTGCGAGTGGTCACTGGAGCGGCTCGTCCTCAGCTCGCACAGGATGCCTTTGCGGCACTTGTCGTCGCAACTCTCGTGCAGATGGCTGTGGTATTTGTAGTGGTTGAACTTCTGAGTCAGAGTGACGTCCGTTTGCATTCGTTCCAGAGCCTGTGCCCACATTGCCGGTTGTATGGTGGCAATGCCGTACGCCTCACTTGCTTTGTACTCTAGCTTCCATGTTGGGTTGGTGCTGATGTGCGGGTCGCTGATGTTCAGGATGTACGTTTCGTGATCGAGCAGCGCGTGCGTGGTGTCCTCGTGATCTCCATCCTGCGTGTAAATACGATACGCTGGATTCAATCCTTCGCCTCCGCCGTTCGTTGTCAAGCTGGGCCCAATGTAGTAGGCTCCAACAGGGAGTGACTTATCATCCTCATCAAAGACTATTGACATCTGTAGGGCAAGAATAACACAATACTTTCTTCAGTTAGTTGGTTGATTGTTGTATAATTTGCTTTATTGAAACTTGAGCAGTGCAGGGTTGTTTGTGCTTGTGCTGGTCTTCCGCTCATTTCCAATTTTTGGTTACTCCAAAATTCCGCGACCATAATGGCAAACCTGCCGACTCCCAACCATGGCATCATTCATGTGACCTCTGTAACCACAGTGGTCTTTCATTGCTGGTGTGTTTCAATACATGCATGCATAGTCTTCTAGTACTCAAGAATAGTCAGAGAGAAGAGATGACCTGATGATTTGGCAGGAACTTATATAACCTCAGCCAAAACTCTCCAAGGAACCGAACCTGTGGGCAGGGTATGCATTGACCAATTAGTTTGAACCTGTGGGCAGGGTATGCATTAACCAAGTAGTTTCACACAAAAACAAAACTAAGGTAGAGTAATTGGCTCACAAACATTCATGTACTTGTTTACTTGGCGGAATGTAACATGAAATTTGACGTGGAACTCACCTTGTCGACATGAGCGTGTCCAAATATCTGCGCAGTGACCGTGTTGGCATAGCGATTGACAATCTTGTGATACGCCCAGCTGAATGCTTTCATCAGTCCATTGGGTGGCTGGTGACCGATGATCTGTACCTGTTAACAATGTGTATACATACATATTACATACACACACATACACACACACACACATACACAAATACACACATACACAAATACACACATACACACACACACATACACACACATACACACATACACACATACACACATATACACACATACACATACATGCATACACACATACACACACACACATATACACACATACACATACACGCACACACACACATACACATATATACACACATACTTGTACTTGTACTTGTTGCTCACTGCCAAAACTGGTCACGTGGGTCTCCCTGGGAGAGGAGAGAGAGACTCAAAAGGAATCTTGGAAAGATGACTCAATTGGCTATTGAACCGCCCAACGGCCGACACCCCCTGAAATCCCCAAAACTCTGGGTGGACTTGAAAATGATCCCACTTATGGGCTCACCACACCTCAGTAAGTGGGTGAGGACAAGGTGCAGAAAAAGGATTGACGGCATCAGGGTATCCGTCCTGGGATCCAACTGCAGGTACCCCTGCCCCCAGTGAAGGTAATACTTGCTACTAGTGTGGGTGGCTAAATCAGAGTGGATCTGATACAAGCTTCACTAGCACCATGATTACACAAGAGTTAATCTAGCCAGAAGTAGTCCATGATTAACAGGTATGTATACTTCAAATAGAAAGTATATGAACCCTGAAACCAACAAAGGTGGTAGGTACAACATTACACCTTCAAGCAGCTGAGCCCGTTGGCTACAGACCCAACACTATCCGGCATAAGTGTACCCACCAACCGAACTAGCTGGTACACACATACACACACACACACACATACTTGTACTTGTACTTGCTCACTGCCAAAACTGGTCACGTGGGTCTCCCTGGGAGAGGGGAGAGAGACTCAAAAGGAATCTTGGAAAGATGACTCAATTGGCCATTGAACCACCCAACGGCCGACACCCCCTGAAATCCCCAAACTAGGGTGGATTTGAAATGATCCCACTTATGGGCTCACCACACCTCAGTAAGTGGGTGAGGACAAGGTGCAGAAAAAGGATTGACGGCATCAGGGTATCCGTCCCGGGATCCAACTGCAGGTACCCTCTGCCCCCAGTGAAGGTAATACTTGGTACTAGTGTGGGTGGCTAAATCAGAGTGGATCTGATACAAGCTTCACTAGCACCGTTGATTACACAAGAGTTAATCTAGCCAGAAGCAGTCCATGGTTAACAGGTATGTATACTTCAAATAGAAAGTATATGAACCCTGAAACCAACAAAGGTGGTAGGTACAACAATACACCTTCAAGCAGTCAAGCCCGTTGGCAACAGGCCCAGCACTATCTGGCATAAGTGTACCCACCAACCGAACTAGCTGGCACACACACACACACACACACACACACACACACATACACACACACACACATACAGACACACAAACCTTTGGACCTTTGGAAAGCCCATCGCCGAAGGCAATGACAGCTATTAGGCGAGGCAGTAATTATTGTGTCGGGATAAGTCATTCGGACGGCGAAAGTAACGCCCGCAGACACAGATGAACAAAGAAAGTCTCTAGCTCCTTCCTCGACTTCCGCATCGTCTTCATCCTCATCCACAGTTATTCGAAATTTTGGAAATTTTTCAAACAAGAAACACTGCCTCGTCTCACTTGTGCTTGTGTACCTACTCCCAGCAGAGCGCAAATCCACTGGGACATGCTGCAGCAACCATGGCCTGGTCTACACCACACAGCCATGGCTGCAAACACACACACACACACCAATTTCTCCTAGAATGAAGTGGAATCAAGTCCACAATACCAGTTTTTCATGAAGATCAAAAAAAGTAGCCCGGAAAGTTGTCCCATTCAAATAATAGCCCCAGGAAAAGATAAAAAATAGTTCGTCTGTCACGCTCCTGAACTAACCCTAAATACAATACGTGATATGAGATCTTATCTTGCTAAAATTCAACTCAAGTCGTGTTAGTTATTCTGCGAGTTGTCATGGGAAACGTAGTGTTCGAAATGCTAACATTTTCCAGATATGAATCGAGAGTAGTCGGCACACGACGCCGTCTCCTGTTCACACTCAAAATGTTGCCCTTTTGTATGCTTGCGTCCCCGTCTACGGTATGAAGAGTTGAACTGATCGAACTCTTCCCGTCCTTCCCGATCCGTTTGGGAGTACGGTTGCATTCCCATTCCTGGTGTTCACATTGTACGCCATCAGACCGTCCCGTCGATCCTTACGTCGCGTCCCGTCACGCTCCGCCCCGCCCCGTCGCGCCCCGTCGAATGTGAACTAGGCTTAAGATGCATTCACATTCCGTGGGGCAATGTGGTACTCCCGTAGTATTGTCAACCGCTGATCAAAATTAATGGATGTGACTCCAGAGCTGTATACCGTAATGCCACATATAAACGCCAGGCCTACATGATTGTATTCCTATAGGAGCCAATGCCAGTGATAGGCTTCTATTCCGATCAGGCCTGTATTCAAGCCAGGTATTTATATGTATGTTAACCAATGCATGTTAATAATATAACCAGGCTTATGTGCCGCCTAGTGCACCTTGAGATTCAGGCTTGTATTCAAAACAGGCTTCTAAGTTCTATATGAGACAGCATGGTAGTCCCATGGTAGTGTTCGAAGCCATCTGAAATGAGTGCCCTAGAAGGACAAGGGTTTTATATTTGCTTACCTTCTCGCCTGCAATCTCAGCCTTCTGCAGCTCGTCTCTCAGCCATGCCAGTTGTCCTGCAGGGTCAGTGCCGTTAATGAACAACCACCAGTTGCCACTGTCGCCATAGTTCATGTTTAGTGAGATCACACGCAGACCGGCCTTCACCAGGGCACTGTAGAATGCGCCTGAAAGTGACGGGGGATGAACATGACATTGTGCAGTCACATACCACAAGGGGGATGAACATGACATTGTGCAGTCACACACCACACCGGCACAATACGTGTACACGAGTGCAAACACACACACGCACACACATGCGCACACGCATATACACACATACATGATACACGTAACAATGGTTTTTGGAAGGTGTTTTTCATAAGAAGTCCATCTGTGATAAACTGCTGCATGATGCAGGAATGTTCCCAGACTCCTGTACATGTATATTATAATTATTATTACTCAATCTGCGGACAGAACTGTTTCGTCCTTTGTGGACTCGTCAGCGCAGCACAGAGGAAATGAGGCCAAACCTGATAGCAATGGAAATAAAAATTTCCAATCAGGCCCGAACGTACCTTGCCAGAGTGCTCAAACTGACAAGTCAGTGAGCTCTGCATAACGCAAACAGCAAAGGCACTACCCCATGCAAGAGTGCTCAACTGCTACAAGAGCAGGAGCGAAATACTCATAATACTTATTATTATTATTATTATTATTATTATTATTATAAGCACTATCGCGATGTAAGCGGGGATGCCTACTTCACTTGTGCCATTCAGGATGATGATAAAGAGAAAGACAAACAGAAAGCTCAGAATCTTGAGGAACAATGCTGTAGAGCAGAATAGCCGGTATCGATTGGATGCACTACAGAAAGGTGAAAATTATTAGTTCATTGATAATAGCTGGTGAGTTGTCTCGTCATTTCTGAATATTCGGTCTGGAGTGCTTGCGGATCGGACTCCTCGGGCACGTTCTGCGCTCACCAGTCGACACCCCGGCACAACTCGCTATGGGTGCATACTTCCGCCGGGCCAGTGACCCGGCTGCACAACGCTTCCGCGGCCAGTCGCGTACCACCCTTGCAACCACCGTCATCGCCGACCTGACCAGCCATGGTATCCCTACCCGGACGCAGACCGATCTTGAGACCTGGCGCACCAGAGCCCAAGACAGAAAAGGCTGGCGCACCCTGAAGGCAACTTACTTGCTAGAGCCAAACTGTTCAAACGACTCCAGACCGAATATTCAGAAATGACAAGTACATGTATATGATAAGAAAATACTCAACCTTCGAATAAGAAAGTATAATTATACTCCTTTACTTTCTATGCTTACCTTCCTTGATGGTGGTCTGTGAATCTTCAGGCAGCCACTCTTTCCAGTTCTCAGCCAGTGAATCTCGCAGCCATTGGTGCGAGTCTTTGCCTGTGATCGATGGCGGGGGAAAGCTGTTCACAGGTGAGCTCTCATGATTGCCGACAGCCGGGAAGATTTTGGCTCCGGGAAAGTACTTCTTGAAGAGGTCGCACACGAACGTAATGGCCGATGTGATATCATCCCTGGTCTGATTCCACACATTATGAGCAGGGACATCCCCGGTGAAGATGATGTAATCAAACTTCTCCTCCTTCGCCACATGCTCCAGTGCATTCTGGAGCAGAGCCAGCGGTGCATCGCAGTAATAGCTGCCGTACGGCCCGGCATTTCCCGGACCCAGATATGCGCGACAGCACAGGGGCTCACCGCACACGTCCAGTGTGTTGACTTCATACTTGCTGTCGTAATGAACATCGGACAGGTAAAGGAAGCGTGCTGTAGGTGTGCCCGCTGCTGGAGGCTTCACCGGTGTGTATGGTGGCTTGGTGTTGTTCAAAATCGGAACAGTCCAGTTTTGCGAGTTGAAGTCCGGTACGTCAGCACATGAGTCACCCAGTATTAGGCCACAGATCTCGTCAGCTGACAAAGCTGTTGCCAAGAGAACGGCGATGATTTCCTCACGAAATTCGACAGTGATTCCGTCGCACACGCGCTTGTCCTCGATTTTTAAGTCGATGCAGATGCGTGTGGATAGCTTCACAATTTCTTCTTCAGTGGCGTTCTGCTTGACCAGTGCCTGCACAGCCACTATAGCCACTTTGCACACATCACAGCTAATCGATTGACTACTTCCCACTGCAGTGGACTCCTCTACACCATGTACGCTCGCAGAGTCCACTGACATTGGTGTTCGCTGCTTTTTCAGCTCCCCCTGCTGTTTTTGCATCGTTTTCGCCTCACCTTTATTGGCTGGGCGCATCATGTCACCAATCTCTTTCATTGGCTTAGCCGAGGCCACACTGAGAAAGGCGACGCTCAGTATCACTGATAACAGCAATTGTCCACGCTTCATGGCTGGTGCTTGCCTCTGTTCCATGCTTCGCACAGCCGCAAACATATTCCTCGTGGGCCGCGTTCCGGACTAATTACCTCCGCCTTGGTGTAAGGGCTTCAACAAAATGTCTTTCTTCTTTGGCCGTGCAATGCTGCTAGCTACAATCAGCACATTGTACACTGCAGCCGTGGAAAGCAGTCTTTGCTAGAGTTAGGACGTTGCTGTGCCGTAGTTGGTACCAGCCAGTCCAAAGCCACAAAGACTGATGGTGGGGAATAAAAATTTGAAGCAGTACAAGTCAGTTCCGCAAACAATTGAATGGATTGACGATTGTGCGATGCACGTGAGAAATTATGACAGGCAGTGCGCTAGTCACGCGCGTACCGGTTCAGTGTTGGGCTCATTTTACGGAGGGTATCATGTATGGTAGAGTCTACACGGTACGATCGCACGACTCAGCACATGCAGGGAAAAATACCGCTGACAATGATAGTACAGTGCCATCGCCATCGCCATACGCCAGCCAGTTACTGAGTTAGCATGGCAACGCGTCTAAACGCGAGCACAATATTTGAAGATTCCAATACTGGCATTACTATTACGTATTAGCACCAAGAACCATGATTATCCCTCCCTTACTGGCCTTAGTATTGACTCACATAGATTTTGCTATCCTAAGCAGTCAAATATTCCTGCATATTTCACTCATTAGCGCGATATTGACTGCTTATTATATTGACTCCTTTTTAGGGATTGAACACTGATTCATGCTTTGCCTAGTCGTGATAAATCTAATATTGGCTTCGTACTCGGTCAATATAGGAAATAAAAACCTCGTAAAAGACCTCGGCTTCGCCTCGGTGATACATGTACGGTATGTACAATTATTTTGTGGAATACGGCATGGGGGGGGGGACACTCTCAAGCGATAAAAACGGCAATAGCCACATGATTACAATAGTGTTGACAGTCCTCACATAATGTGAAAGTCTAGGGTGGTGATAAGTACAATTTTTAGCACCCACAAATTGTACATATCACCACCCTAGTCTCTCACATGATGTGAAGACTATCACCTATCACTATCGTGATACGAAATTGACTTGGTGAATCAGCAAGGCGGACCGATGCCGGAACTGAGTTCCAGCGGTCAGCGGCTAGTAAGTAGAGTAAGAGCCCCATCTTCAAGAAGGCGGCAGGTGCAGATGGCATATCCCATGAACTCCTAAAAGCCCTGTCTCCTAGCTATCCCTCTCAGCCTAGTTTTCAACCAGTCCTTCGCCACCGGAATCTTCCCTGATGTCTGGAAGGCAGCTGTGGTTGTGCCTATTTACAAGAATAAAGGCAGTAAACTGTCTGCATCCAATTATCTTTCAAAGCTCTGTGAACGTGTGGCATTTGGCCACTTATACCACCATGTGAACCCGGTCCTTGATCCGTCACAGTCTGGATTTCGGCGAGGCGATTCGGCCGCCTGGCAGTTGCTGAGGCTTGTGCAGAAGCTCTATGAATGCAAGGATCAGAAGCAATTTAGCCTCCTATGTTTTTTCGACCTGAGCAAAGCATTTGACACTGTCTGGACAAGGGGTCTCTTCCATAAGTTAGCAGCGTTTGGCGTAGCCGGGACGTGTCTGCAGTGGCTCACCAGCTATCTCACTGAACGTCGACAGAGTGTCCGAATTGGACATGTCCTGTCCGCCCCTCTAACAGTCCACTCTGGAGTGCCCCAGGGCTCTATCTTGGGGCCTCTATTGTTCATCGTATACGTTAATGATTTGGCAGGTTTGGATCATACCTCACTCTACGCGGACGATACAGCGCTCCATATAACCGAGCCAGGATTATTACAAGCCTGCGACTCGCTACAGTATCACATTAATCAAGTTGTGCGCTGGATGTCGAAGTGGAAACTCCGCCCCAATGTGTCGAAAACGGCAATCCTTTGTATCCCCCCACGACCCTCCAGTGACCTCACCCTCTTTACGACTCGGCTTTTTACTTTCCCTGATGATCCCATTGCTATCAACATTGTTAAAAATCACAAACACCTTGGTATATTTCTTGATGAACACTTGTCCTGGGATTCGCACGTAACCTATATTGAAAAGCGAGTTTGCTCCGCGATAGGCTGCATTTCTCCTCACATCTCCCATCTACACCATGGTTGTCGAATACAAATTTATCACTCTTATGTTCTTCCTTTGTTTGATTACTGCTCTCTCGTTTGGTCCTCCGGTCTATCCTCCGCTCTTATGCATCGGTTAGAAGTCACCCACCGTAAATTACTTCGATTAATATTTCGCATGCCCCCTCTGACCTCCTCTCAGACGCTATACATTTTGGCTTCCTCTTCCCCTCTCTCAGAACGCTTTCCCCACTCGGCATGCAAATTCATTCACCGTATTAAGCTTCAACTTGCTCCTCCTCATGCACTTGCGCATTTAAGCTGGTTCAATAATAGCTCGCGTACTAGATGTTCTCTCCATTTCCCACTTGCCAGATCATCGATCCTTTTAAAATCCCCTCTGTTCAAGTCCTATTCTCATTGGTCTCGGCTTCCGCAGGAGGTAAAGTCTCGTGACACCTTCGCTGCATTTTGTTCAATTCTGCCCGCGCCTAAGTCGAATTGAATTGAGTTCGTTGTTTTCCATTGCTAGCCTAATCTTCATACTGCTCTCTCCAGGTTCCTATAGTACTTCTTTTGTTTTGTTTTGTTTTCTCTTTTTTTCTCCTTCTTTTTCTCAGTTGTCCCCACCATGGCTGGTTAAAATCGCCCGCATCACATGCTTATTGGCACTATGTCATCGTGATTGTGGAATAATAATAATAATAATAATAATCTTTCATCGTTCATCACTTCGACCAACCCACATGTTGTGTGTCCAGTAGTAGCTTCTGCGACTCTTCTTCCACGTACCTTGGCGAATCAAGTGTGAGGCCAGACTCTCATTGATTCAATTTGCTTGACGTGATTTTCGTAGATGCATCAATAGCACCTTCTACTCATCAACTCACTCATCAACTCACCAGGCAGGCACAGTGGGTTGGTCAAAGACCATGATTGAGATACGAGAGGTACCTGGTTCAAGTCCTGCCTGGGAGCGGTTTTTCCAGCCGTGCTGCTACCCACAGTCAACTGGGAACTTGTGGCCAGGCACAAGGGGTACATGGATGCAGCTAGTAATGGGGTCGTTTTCGGCACTTGTGCCAGTGGTTGTGAGACTTACCCACTCACCCCCACCGTTAGGCGCTGCATCTGCCGCCAGGGTTTATCGGGTGTTAGCGGCCGTCGTGAGTTCCCTTCGGGAACGGATACGATAATTTACTTTTTTTTTACTTACTCATCAAAAATCATTCCATTCCTTTTCTTGCATAACATTTTCTTCATAATCCCACACATGTACAGTACGAAAAGGGTTTGCTCCCCACACCGGAGCTCGCGCTATTCCGCCGACTTTACTTGACACTTGACTGACTCACGACTGCCATCCAGAGCACACGAGAAGTCCATCGAACCTTCGACTCGGCAAACCTGCAAGAAAGCACTCGTGTGCTCTGGATGGCAGTCGTGAGTCAGTCAAGTGTCAAGCAAAGTCGGCGGAATAGCGCGAGCTCCGGTGTGGGGAGCAAACCCTTTTCTTACAAATCATCGCCGAAGTCGCAACCACTACTTCGTACATGTACAGTACATGTACATGTATTAATTAAAGTAGGCATAGTCGTTTGATGTGATTCATATGAACGTGTTCATTGAAATCTTGCTAGTCTCCTGGTCAATCTGGGTCAACCACCGTTCATGCAGCGTTCCTGTCTTCCCCCGGGTCCACTAAGTGCCAAGAACTACAGTCAGAAGACTACGTAGGTTGTTTCACTTCAATGCGACTGAAATGTCGAGTTGTACAAAATAGAAGGAAATGGAACCGGAATTTCAGCTTGAGTCCGCAGCATTCCGTCATGTACAGGAGAGTTAGTAGTCACTTAGTATGCATTATGCACTCAAGTAGAGAGTACACGATCATGCACATACACAATTCACATACATTCGGTGTTCACGACAGCCTACAGGTGGTCCAGTGTGCCAATAACGTGAGCATCGACATGGATTGGACCACTAATCACTATGCTGGATGACATGATTGTACTTCTTGCATATCCAATCACTAGTACTGGTACCACAGACCACTTCGAAGTACTAGTATCTAATCCTCATGTGTAACCCAAGGATACACGTACATGTATAATCTAGGTACCACAGGCTACATTACCGTTACGGGTACAGTCAGTGCTGGTACATGGCATGCACTTAGTGCTAGAGCTGGCGTGTACGCGTATCTCGTTCACACTTACCCACTATCTTTGAGGTCAATCGTGCATGTCGCCTGGTGTGATGGTGCTAAGCCTGGCCTGGCCTGGGCACACACACCCTGCTGACGTGACCCACACTACGCTGTGTGCCTACAAGCGCAGCGCTCCAAAATGGCAACTAATTTAAAACTACACTACATCATGTACTCCCACAGACTCAGTATAGTCGTTAGTCGTTAGTCAGTGAAACAGCCAGTGAACCCGTACGTACGTGCGTGCTGTCAAGACCGCACAGTTAAAGTAGTACTAGTAGGGCTATCTAGCCTTGCTGTGTTTCGGCTTCTCCATCATGGAGGCGCAAGATCACTGTGAAAATGTATTGTTGGGTGCCTGGCAGCTGGGCTGAGCTAGCGACGTGTACGGAGATTACAGCATGGCTTGCCACTCGTACACACACCATACTCCATAGGTTGCCTGCATGGGTTAGTTTGTGGGACTATTATTACTATTAGTATTAGTATAATGACGAGGGACAGGCTCCATAACAGTCATGACAGTTGTGTGCGTTTCGCCGCGTAAAGAGTGGAAATAGAACAGCACAGCGAAAGGAGAGATCCGCTAAGGGTATAAGGTGGTAAATGCATGCCATGTACATGTAGCTCACTCGACCACTCCATTCTGCACTCTTCTTACTAGTCTTAGACTTACTCTCTTGAGTCTTAGGCTTAGGGCTAGTTAGGCACCGTCCAACAAGAACGATTTGCACAGGACATTGAGCCGAATGACAACCATAGGCGTGGGCTTGCGTGCGAGGACCATCAATTATTTTCACTAACGATACTGACTCTGTGTCGTCTGCAGTTCTGGCGACAATGACGATTGTTTTGGCTAAAAGTTGGAAGGTGGAGTAGAGGGAGCGAGAGAAATCGTTCTTTTTTGTACTGGATCATTGTGCACTAAACTCAGTGTTTAATGACTGGTATTAATGAAATGGGGTAGAACAAGTGGATGCCAGGCCCCTGGCCAGGGTCTCCTGGTGCCGGGACAGTATGACCTGCGCGGACACTGCAATACTACTGTACAGTGTTGGCTTACAGCAGCCGTGACGAGAAAGCTAGACTAGGATAACGATTTCCCAGGAGGCTACACGCTCTGGATCTCGCTGAAGAGATATGCTAGCCCACGGGAATTGCTAGTGGACAGGATGGCTCAAAATGGTAGGCGATGTTTCGCCACCAGCACAGTAACTTGAGTAAGTCAGCACCCGTCTCTTCCGTCGGCTTTACACAATACTGTCAATAGTACTAATAGTGAGGTTGCCCGGCACACGTAAGTACAGTATTGTGGTGGGAGTCGTGAGGAGAGCATCTCGAAATAGTAGGCGATGGTTTGCAACCAGCACGTCTCTTCCGTCGGCTTCAGACAATAGAGAGGTCGACGCGCGTAGTAAAGTACACATGTAGTGGGAATCGTGAAAAGAGTATGGGAACATTGCTTGATGCTTGAAGGCGCACATGCCATGACATGGTCAT